TGTTGTTGTTGTTGTGTTTGTTGTTTGTTGATTGTTGTTTGTTGTTTGTGGTTTGCTGTTTGTTGTTTGCCGTGCGTTGTGTGTGTGTTGTGTGGTTTGTGTTTGCTGCTGGTTGTTAGCTGTTTGTTGATGCCGCCGTTGCCGTTGTCGTTGTCGTTGTTGTTGGTGTTTTTGATGTTGTTGGCCATGGTGTTTTTAGTTGCTAATGCTGTTGATGTTGTTGTTGTTGTTGATTTTGCTGCTGTTGTTGTTGCTGCTATTGCTGTTGTTGCTGCTGTTGTTGTTGACGTTGTTGTTGTTGTCGTCGTCCTCGCCCGCGTCCCCCCGCGACCTGTCCGCGACCCACCCAGCGACCCACCCCTCATTGCACCGACTTTGCAGACGTGCTGCAACGGATTTTTGCATGGATTTCTGCGTGGATTTTTGCCCGAAGCGGCGAGCGAAAAACGAAGTGAATGTCACGTGGATTGTTTTTAGTTTTCATTCCTGGCCAAAAAAAATCCGCACGAAATTCACTTCGAAATCCGGAGCGAAATTCTCCAGAACTCTTTGGGCCTATCCAATCGTTTTCCGCACGAAATCCGCTCTGCGATGATGGCGCATTGACACCCCTCGCCCGCCCCCTCACTCTTATCCGCAACTGCGGGGTGCTACGTATACCAAAACAAAAACAAAAACCAAACTCGACGTGACGACCGTCCCTGGGGCCGCCGGCCACCAAGTAACGTCACGACTTGTGCCGGCGCCGTCGGGGAATGGGGCATGTACTAGAGCGCGTTGCTTTATTTTCGGCGATAATGGGCATTATAGGAGGGGGGGGGAGGGGCCAAGGGGGGGATATAATGTAACGACCCCCCCCCCGCCGCGCGCACGGCGGCAGTGCCCGGAGCGCACGAATGGGGGAGGGGCGTTACGTTGTGGGGGGGGAGAAGGGGCTGGAGGCTATAATGCCCATTATGCCCCAAGCAAAACATGATCGACCCACGAACCCGGAAAGGAACGTAGAACTGTAACGCATGGCGACGTTTTCAAAGACACCTGATCGGGTGACGGGCAAATGCAATGCTGAATGTATCGATATTGATGTACCGTGCTGACGGCTGTGCTGCGCTGCGCCATGCTGAACTGCGATGTGCCACGCCGCGATTGTGCTCTATAGCGTTGTGGATCGAGTCCCCCTTTGCATCCGAATCCTGACCGAACTGATCTGGATCTTAAGCTCGAGCTGCCTGAACACATAGTAGCTGCCCCAAGGCTAACTGACGTGGGAAAATGCCAGGAGGATGCGCCGTGAAACGTTCCAAGGGACGCGCCAGGCGACGTGCCAGGGGACGTGCCATGGGCACCCACCGCGGGACGTGCCAAAGGGACGCGCTACGGAACGTGCCAATGGATGTGCCAAGGGATGTGCCAGGGGACGCGCCACGCGACGTGCCAGGGGGACTCGCCAAGGGACGCCCCGCGGGACGTGCCAGGGACGCGCCAGGTTGCACTGCTGAGTGTGTCGATATTGATGTACCGTGCCGAAATCTGTGCTGTGCTGCGCCGTGCTGAACTGCGATGTGCCATGCCGTGATTGTGTTCTATAGCCTCGTGGATCGAGTCCTCCTTTGCATCCTAGTCTTGATCTTAAGCTCGAGCTGCCTGAACACATAGTAGCTGCCTCAGAGCCAATTGACAGGGGGACATGCCAGGAGGACGCGCCGCGATACGTCTCAAGGGACGCGCCAAGCGACGTGCCAGGGGACGTGCCATGGGCACCCACCGCGGGACGTGCCAACGGGACGCGCTCCGGAACGTGCTGGGGACAAGCGCTTCGCTCGAGACATCCGGTCAAAATTCAAGGGAATCCGGAAAAACAAACGAATTAGCCGAGACATCCTCGAACTTCCTGCGCGCGGGACGCGGCACAAGCGAGACATCATCGGAATTCCTGCGCGCGGGACGCGGCACGTGCGAGACATCATCGGAATTCCTGCGAGCGGGACGTGCAAACAACCATTTCGCTTGAGACATCCTCTGAATTCTGACCCCCACGAGGCCCCCGCTCGAGACATTCCCCACGAAAGCGTTGTACATGCCGCGGCCGCTGACGAACAGCAGCAGCACGACATAGGTGAAACTCACCCAAAAGTAAATCAGAACCTTCCGGGGGTGACACCCTCCTCCGCCGCCTCCTCCTCCTCCTCCTCCACCTCCGCAGATTTCTCTGCGCCCTCCTCGCCCTCCTCATCCTCCTCCCTGCTCTCGCCCTCTACCTCCTCCGTTTCCCCATCCCGGGCATCTGCGCGCTGGCCTCTGCCCTCGCCTTCTCTCCTGGCGGGGTCCGCCTGTGCGGGTGCCTCCCCGCCCCCTCCCCGACCTCCTCTCGCCGGGTGGGATCCACCTGTGCGGGTGCCCCCACCCCGGTGGGGTCCGCCTGTGCGGGTGCCCCCACCCCTGCCTCTACCTCCTTCTCCTCCTCCTCCTCCTCCTCCTCCTCCTCCTCCTCCTCCTCCTCCTCCTCCTCCTCCTCCTCCTCCCTCCTCCTCCTCCTCCTCCTCCTCCTCCTCTGCCTCTCCCTCTGCCTCTCCCCCTGCCTCCTCGCCCTTCGTCGCGAGCCCGCTCCTCTTCCTCCTCCTCTGCCTCCTCGGCTCCCTCGCCCTGCTGGCGCTGCTGCAGCTCCGCCTTTTCTTCGAGGAAGTCGCCCGCCTCCCTGCCCCCCTGCGGGGCCGTCCGCGCCGCCCCCTCAGGCGCTCGCCACTGACGGGCTGGATACCTGGCGTCCCAGGTGCGTTCCGCCACCTCTTCCATCCAGCGCAGGACCAATCGATCCTCGTCCCGGCTGCGCCCCGCTGGCCAGCCCCAGCGCGCCTGCAGGGCGTCCCCTGGCCGGGCCGGGGCCCAGCGAGGTCGGCGTCTGCCCCCGCATGATGTGGTCCTGGTCTGGCAAGTCTGCGTCGCAGCCAGGCCACACGCAGCGGCATGCTTCGTCAAACTTCCCTCCTCCCGCTGCTTTCGCCGCCAGCGGCGACAGGAAGGACCCGCGCATCACGTGCATCCTCGTCCCCGTTCCGTCTCTCACCGCCTCTCTGGCTAGCTTCACGCGGGCCTCATCGTATTCGACGCCCTGCAGCGGGGCCTCATCCCTCCTCCTCTGGCGCTTGAACTGCTGCCAGTTCCACCAGCGCCAGCCCTCGCGCACCTGGTGCATCTGCCTGGCGTGCACATCCTTCTCCACATCGTCCCAAGTTGGACGCTCCTGCAGGTCCAGCTCCATCCCCGTGCCCGGGTGGTACCAGTTCCAGGCGCTCGCCTCCTCCTGCCAACCCATTTTCCGCAGCCAGCAGCGCACCTCCGCCACCAAGGTGCCTCGCTTGCGGTACCAACTCGTGTACCAGCGGGAATCGTCTCGCCTCCGCAGCCGTCGCCGCATCGTGGCCACCTGCCGGCACCCGATCACCACATCCGCCGCAAAGGTGCCGCCCTCGAGGATGTTCATGACGTGCTTGGACCCCATGGGGCATCCACCTGCGCTCCTCCTGATCGCTGCCGTCACCTGGTCGGCCTTGACCTGGGGCGGGGTCTTCGCCATCCAGCCATAGGTGCTCTTGGACAACCCAAAGGCCCTGCAATATTCCTGCTTCTTGCGTCGCCCAACCGGCAAGCATTGCAGGCGGCGGATCTCTCTCAGCGCGCTCTGTACCCGCGCTTCTTCCTTCACATGCATGACTCTGCCCTGCGCCCCCACCGTGACGACGCCGAGGGCCTCCATCGCTGGGGCCACCTTGTCCCCAAGCCCCTGCCTGTCTGCCTCCGCCCGCAGCGCCGCCTCCTCCGCGCGCCCGCGAGCAGCGAGCTGGATCTTCCGTGGGTTCTCGCGGAGTCCCGCTCGCGCGCTCCAGTGGCGCCAGATGGCCACCCGTCCCCCCGCCTCCACGGCGGTCGTCGCGGACCACGCCCTGTCGTCCATATAGATGGTGGACCTCGGTGTCTGGCCTGCCCGCCTCCCTGGTGCTCTCCTCCCCGGTCGTCCAGGCCCGGCGGCCTGTGAGCGCCCCTCGCCCGCTGCTGCCTCCTCCTGCCTCGGTTCCTCGGCCTCCTCCGCTTGGGCGTCCGCCGGGCCCTCTGTGCCCGGTGCTGCCCCTGTCTCCTCCGCCTGCGCCTCGTCGCAGTGCTCCTCCTCCGCCTCCGCCGCTGCTGCTGCCGCTGCTGCTGCTGCTGCGGCTGCTGCTGTTGCAGCTGCTGCTGCTGCTGCCTCCTCTGCCTGTCGTGGTTCGGGCGTCGGCCCTCCTCCCGCCGGTGCTCCAGCGTGCTGCGGCGTCGCCTGCCTGGCCTCTCCTGCCTCCACTGTCTCCTCAGCGTGCTCTGCCTCTGCCTCTTCCTCCTCCTCCTCCTCCTCCTCCTCCTCCTCCTCTTCCTCCTCCTCCTCCTCCTCCTCCTCCTCCTCCTCCTCCTCCTCCTCTTCCTCCTCTTCCTCCTTGGCCTCCGCGCCTTGCGCTCTCGCCGCGGCAGCCTCCTCCCCCTGCCGCCTCACCCAGCGGGTTCCTGCGCCCATCCACACGTTGAGGGCCATCGGTCCGAAAGGATCCCCTTGTGGGAGGGCATCGCTTGCCACCAGGGCTTGGGGGCTCACGTGGCCACTCCAGATGACCCATCTGCGCTGGCCAGTCCACAGTTCCTTCGTAGGCGAGCGATCCTCCTGGGCCACCCCGCTCGCTCCAGCAGTTCACAAATCACTTGGGGGCGCATGTGATCATAACACAACGAAAAATCTGGCGTGCCAGCATACCCCTGCTGGGCGAGGTTGTCCGCGATGTCCGCTGCTGCTTCCTCCGCGCCTTTGGAGCCGGCGCCACCCAGCACATCGTCGGGGATGTTGTGTCTCCTCCATTCTGCGACTGGGGCTGACTTGACCCATGCCGAAGCCCAGACGCGCCACCACACGCACTCCACGTTGATCGGCCGCGCGTCGCCAGCCTCCAGCCGGCCAACCTGCACCTTGCCCGGCTTCGGGAGGTTAGCCTGCCGCGTCTCCTTCAGCACTTCTGGCACCTTCCCTTCTGTCTGCCAGCGGATGGCAATCATCCGACACAGGTCTGCCACTGCAGCCGGCAGGTAGCGGCTCTGGCCCAGACCAGCCGTCGACGCTGGCGCTGCCCTTTGCCTCCCCCAGCTCTCGCCGCACCTCCTGCTGCGTGGGGTCGCGCCACTCCACCGCAGGGGGTCCCTCTCATACTCCGCCGCCATGAGGTCGATCGCCTCACGCCTCCGCTGCTCAGCTCCTGATGCGGCCTGCGGTGCCCACACCTCCTGCCAGTGCTGGCGAATCGCCTCTGTAGCCTCTTCCAGAGTCTCCCTTGGCGTCCCTCGCCATGTGATTGTGGGCGTCGTCGCCATTTCCTTCTGGCCGCGGAGCCACGCCGACACCTCCTGGATGCCGCCGCGCATGCGGCCCCGCCATTCCTGAAGCCGTTCCTGCCGCTGGGCCTCCTCGACCGCCTGCAGGGCCGCCTCCGCCTGGCGAGTGCGGTTCCCCAGCTCCCTCGGGTTGCCTGCTTCCTCCTCTGCCTCCTCTGCCTCCTGTGCCTCCGCCACTCGTTGCCTCCTAAGCCCTCCTCCTGCGCGGCCTCCTCGGTGGCCTCCGCCTCTCTCCGCTCCTTTGCCCGGCCCGCGTTGCACCCTCCGCCAGAGCTGGCGCTGCTCTTCTGCGCTGCCCCAGGCGTCGCCGACCGCGGCGCGTTGCCTGAGAGCCTCCTTCGCCCTGGCGAGCCACCTCCTCGCCGATTTTACCTGGAAAATGTCCTGTTCTCCTCTCCGGAGCCTCGGAGCTGCTCCCAGCGATGCTCCCCGCACCCTCCTTCGCCGCCCTTTGCGGCAGCGGCCTCAGCGGCCTCCCGGCAGTCCTGCCTGCTGCGGCCTCCTCCTCCGCAAGCTTCCAAAAGGCGCGGCACATCATGTCCCCCAGCGCCGTGTTGAAGTCGCCCCATTCCTCCTCGACCTGGATCCCCTCCTCCACAAGATCCGTCCTCCCCAGCCTCCTCCTAGTTTCTGCAAGCGTGAGCGTTGTCTCGAGTCTCGTCCGTGCCTCGGACGCTGCCGTGGCCGCCCAAGCCTCCTCTAGAGCCTGCCTCCATCTGTCGGCATCCACCCCCTCTGGTTTCTTCCAAGAGGGCGTCAGCCGCACCTTGCCGATGCGCCTGTCCACCCGGATCTGTGTCCGGAGGGCCGTGCTCAGCACCTTGTGATCTGACGTTACCAGTGGCAGCGCTCGCATGTCGTCAACGCATTCCCGCGCATTGGTGGCGAACCAATCCACCTTTCGTCGTCCACGCCACCGCGTGCCGTCTTCGCACCCTGGCAACACCACCCCGCCGTTGTGCACGACCACCGCCTCACAGGCAGACTCGGCAGGTTCATCGTTGAAGTCGCCGCCCCACAACCACGGCAGCCTGCGCCCGCCGCACTGCACAAACACCGCGTTGGCCGTGTCCAAGAGCGCCCTCCTCCCAGCAACGGTGGGCGGCCCGTACGTGTTGAGGCACTGCCACCCCCCCACGCGCACCACCAGTGCCTGTGCTGGACCATCCGTCTTTCCCGTCACCAGGCTGTGGGGCATGGTCTTGCCCACCAGCGTAGCCACGCCTCCGAGAGCCGTCTCCTCGCCCCAGCGTCCGCGTCCTCGAGGCCCCTCCTGGCGAAAAGCCTCATAGCCCCTCCTTTTGGCAGCGCGTGAGAAGCTCTGCCAGTCCTCGTCCTTCATGCGGAGCTCCTGGATCAGGACCACGTCCGCATGCAACGCGCCTCCAGCCTGCCCCTCCTCCTCCTCCTCCTCTGCCGGCTGGTACGGCCGGACGTTCCCCAATTTTGTAAAACCAGCGTTTCGCTCGAGACATCCTCAACACACGAAAGGGTGGCCCGCACCCTGTGCTTTATCGATCGGGATTTCAAAAACAAGCGTTTCGCCTGAGACATCCTCAAATGTTTTTGATCCGTCCGCCCACCTCGACCTCGATATTTATCAGGGAAAGAATCCGCCGGCTCACCTCAGTTGAGGCACCGGGGACAAGTTCACCAACTAAAAGAGAACCCTGGGCCGGCGCCCTTTCTGGGAAAAAACACGTTCCTACCCTGACGCCGCCGACGCAGATCGTGAAGTTATCGGCCCCTTCCACTCCCCTCCCGGTAGCGTCCGTCATCGTCGGAGGAAAAACCAAATACATACTGCAGAAGATCACGGGATCACGGGTCCCGCTCAAAACCCCATAGCTGCTCAACCGATCAAACGCGCACTGCTCTTTGCCCACCCGCCCCCTGTTCTTTTGACACCACTGTCGCTCTGCGAGGGATGGCGGCACGGCGCAGCATGGACACGAGAACGCGGTGGACTCGTACATCCACGTTCTAGAATTGACAATTGCGCGCCCTTTGAAAACCTGAGGGCCGAACAACGATGGCCAGCATCCAGACTGCGGAATATGGAGACTGCTTAGGTGCACCGATGAGACTCTGAGGCCAGGTGTATACGGGATAACGGCTCGGCTTCACTACCCAAAGCCAAACTTTGCGGCCAACTTACCTTCAGACGAACGCTTCACGGGGGCTATAGCAAAAACGTGACGCACACCGTTTCTCCAGACAGCTCGCCAATCCAGCCGTGAAATCGTACGCCCATGGCACCTGTGTCTTAGAAAAGGAAGAGGAGGAGAGGGGAGGAGGACGTGGAGGAGGAGGAGAAGGGATACGAAAAATTGGGAGGAGGATGGAAGAAGGATGAGGAGCCCTGCATCCGGGGTTGCTCGACGGCTCTGCACGCTCGGAATGTCAGCAACTACAGGGCGCCAGGTTAGAGGCGGAGGGTGACGGTTTGAGCGTGGATCCAGACCTGGAGACGAAAGTCGAACGTGGGGGATCAATGGCGCACTGGGATGACGATGGTAACTATTCCGCCCACGCTGGGTCTGGGCACGTGCGCGGAACAGCTTCGCGCGATTCGCCGAACTTTCTATTCTGCGCGGCGGCAGCCCTCCTTGGAACTGCTCTGGCACTATTCATTATCACGCTCAAAGACAGCGTGTAACATGGAAAGGAAAGCTGGGAACCAAAATCACACGTCGCGGCTGAGGAAGAAAGGAGGAGAACGCTCAAGGGCTTCCTTAGAAAACACAGCGCACGAAGCGGCGCACGACGCGGAGGCCTTGATCAACTATGATATTGGCGCGGCTGACAAAAACAACAGTCATGGGTCCATACATTCTGCATTCTTCGTTCCCTCCAGGCGGAACTTTCACAAACCTGTTTTGCAATGTCCCAGCTGGGGGGGCTCAGGCAAGCTCGAACCCACGCGGTTCCACAACACGCAGCTCCAGAGATCCCACCTTCAGCACCCCCTTGTCTGATCTCTCGCCTCTGCCTGCTCTCGCCTGAAGCTCGGCAAGAGCGCCCTGCAGAGCGGTGGCCTCCGCTTCGCAGCCGAAGAGGGGGGGGCAAGCTAGGTGCGCTCGCACAATGATCTGCAATTCTAAAGTCCCGAACCTTTTTTTCCATCAACGATGCAATCAACTCGAAGCGGGCGTGGCCAGCATGAACACCACGAAGACCTTGAGGACATTCAGAAACCCGCATGGCAAAAACTTGCAAGTTTTGCTCCGCGTGTCGCGGCGGCTGCGGCGGCGGCCATGGCGGCACGCCGTGCCCTGCAAGCGGACAGCGCGTCGCTCTGCTATGCGGGGCGGGAAGCCTCGAGAGACTCGGGGCGTTGACGTCCGGGGACGAGGACGTGGCTAACGTGCCGCGCCGCAGCGTGGTGTACCAGAACTGGAGGCGCGACACGCTAAGCACAAATTCCCGACAGTACCCCTGATGGGCACATCTTCCAGCATCCTTACCATATGTCGGACAGGGGAACAGGGAGGATAAGGTCCTCCTCCTCCCCTCCTCCTCCTCCTCCTCCTCCTCCTCCGCCTCCGCCTCCGCCTCCTCCTCCTCCTCCTCCTACCTATGGTAGTGGTGGTGGAAAATGGGCCCATCAACCCCTCTCACCCAACCCTTCTTTTTCTTTCAGACGCCTCTAGCCACACCGTGACAGGCCACCGAACAAGAATTGAAGGCTACAGATTGCGCTGAACTCTGCCGTGTTTTGCCGTGCAACCCTGATGAATCAGCCGGGATATCGAACAAACTGTGTCCTCTGAGGCCACAGCTTCCGCAGTGAAAGATGAAACAGGCGGATGAATGTACGCGCCGCTCATTGCGATTGGGAAAATGTGGCGACGGCCGTCGCGCAAGACCACCGCTTCGGCGAACCAGGCTCCAGCTGACCAGGAACCCGCGCGGGTCCCCCCATCAGAATGGATGAGAAAATTGCTTCGAGCACACTAAAATCTTCCAGGGTTGGCGCGACGTCTTTCCGCCAGCCGGTGCCCGAATCCATGGTGTGATTCGCAAGAAAATCAGCGATGCGATTGTTCTCGCGTCGGTGCCAAACGATGGGATCCCCCGCCCGAGATGCTGGAGACCATCCAGCGTCTACTAACTTGAAGATCTGGCCGGTGATCCTTCCAAACACCGGTGCGAGCCTGGGTGAATTCAACCGCGCGCGCCCGCATGCCACTTCAGCTAGAGGTTTACAACCCACCACGAAGACGAATCAATTGCATATACGATCAAACTCGATGACGGGCGGTTCGTCTCCATGTTGATCTGGGCATCCATCCAAGCTGTGATGAAGAAACTTTCTGCGCTTGTTGAGGTTGGCCGGAATGTCTGCATGGACGTCCTGTGCGCCTTGGCCACGGTTAGGGAGTTGCCACTGCGTGCAAACCAAAGCTTTGAATTCGTCAAAATGCTTACTCCAAGACTCATATGAATCGCACTTGTCGCGTCTCAGACGCCACTCTGTTCCGAAGGCGGTGCAGAAAATGTCTCCATCCGTCTCCATCCGCCGAAGGGGGTGTCCTGGAGGACCTCGACCCTCCAGTGGGCAGCTGTAGAACTTGACCCGCCGTTTGCAACGCTGTATCGGCAACCAGGAGGGGGGACTTGCACACCGGAAAGCGAAGAGGAGCAGGTGGATGAAGGTCGAGGTGGTGGAGGAGAGGCATTGGGTCGGGCATGTTCCCCTGCAGGCGGATCTGGGGCGACAAAATGACAAATTACTCAACTCATGTCCCAACATAGTCAACCATGCTAAACAAAATCGCCCCCAGACTTTCTTACTATGTTCGAATTTTCCTTCTGTGGAGGGACAGGCCCGACTTAAGAGAAGCAGGAGGAGGTGGAGCAGGAGGGCCAGGGCAAGGCGGGGAAAGTGAACGGAGGGGAGCGGCAACGACGAGGAGCGATAGCGCCGCGCTGAGCGACGGGAGCAGCGCGCCAATCCTGTAAATCGGAAGCTGGGCGAGGGCTGCTAAAACCGTGGCTGCTAAAACGGCCCTCCCGGACGGAAAAAACAACTTCCCGGAATGAGGCGCGGCACGCGAAACAGTCAACGGGCTTCTTCCCGGAAGGACGAAGACAACTTCCCGGAGGTCGATTTTAGCAGCCACGGGTTTAGCAGCCGTTGCCCAGCTTCCGAGTAAAGGCGGCCAGCGCTGCAGCGGGAGCACCGCGTTCGGAGGACCGAAGACGTCCGCATGGAACAAGGACGCGCGCAATACAGATCCGGGACATTTTTTTGTGGTGCGCAGCACCGCGGCAGAAGACGCGGGGCGAGTAGAAAGACAGCACGAGGGGAGAGGCAGAAAGAAGTGCTCCTGCTATGCGTATCCGCCACCGTGCCTGTGGGCACGGAGTGGGCGTGTACTCAGGTCCTTCTGCCCAACCCCTGGAGCCTCACCTCAACCCTCCGTCCTTTGAGCAGGGACCGACCGTCCCAGCATTCCTAAAGGCCTACCACGATATGTTTTTAAACCCAAAAGTTCTAAGAACGCAAGCAGTATTCTTAGAACATGAACCCGATGTGTTACAGCACAACAATCCCAGCCAGAAATGTTCTGAGGACATGTCGTGGAAACCACACCAGGTTCTTAGAACATTGCTTGGTAGGCCTACAGGCACGCCAGGACGCTCCGCCAGTGCTGGAGTCCTGAGGGGTCCTTCGAGCAGCCTGGACCCAAGATTCCGAGACCTCCTGCGCCTTCCTGTGTGCCCACCGGGGCTCTGACGCAACCCTCCCTGGGCTCTGGCGCGCCGCCCTGCGCGACACGCGGAGGCCCAGGAGGGCCTCAAGACAGGCTGAGAGGGCCCCAAGACAGGCCCGAAGACGGTCCAAGAGGGCCCCGAGTCGCCGAACGACGGTGGGTGGACAAGGAGTGTCCACACCCATCGCGCCAATATGCTACGACACGACATCGAACTGCGTCGAACAAATATCCATAGCCCCCGCCACCCCCCACCCAAAAATTGACGGGGTTGGGTGCGAGGCAACGCGCGGGGGACAAATTATGGACACTTCAACTTTGGGTTTGGGGAAGCGGGGGGTCGAGCTACATGTACATTGCAATGATTGCCATCATGCCTGATTGTCTTCACGCCGTCGGCGTGGACACTCTTTGTCCGGGCACCGCGATTGCTCCTAGGCGCCCACGAGGGCCCCCAGACGGCCCAAAAGGCTTCCAAGACGCCCCAAGAGGCCTCCCAGGGGCCTCTCAAGAGGGTCTCACGGGGCAAAAGTCGTTGATTGTCCTTTGGTTTTTGACGTTTTTGGCTGTCTCGCCTTTTCCGCTTCCTGGCGCTCTAAGACCGTCCCAAGACGGCCCAAGAGGCCTCCAAGAGGGCCCCCAAACTGCCCAAAGACAGCCCCCAAAGCGCCCAAGACGGCCCAAGAGGGCCGCAACACGTCCCCAAGAGGGGCCCAAGAGAGGGAGCACGAACTGAAAATCCAAGTCTTCTGCCCCAAGAGGCCCCCAGGAGGCTCCCAGAGGCGCCCAGGAGGCCCCAACAGGTCCCCAAGCCAGGGCCACCAAGGCCCCCAAGAGGCCCCCAAGAGGCCCCAAAACGGCCCCCAAGAGGCATCCAAACCGCCTCCAAGAGGCCCCCGAGAGGCCGCTCACGAGATCCCAAGGAGCATCCAATAGGCTTCGCACCCACAGCCCAAGCACGGTGGCGGGATGGGCCGAAAGCCATTCCACAATTGCCCAGAATGGGTACGGAACAAATGGATACGATGCCCAACAACAACTATACTCCAAAACCGAAAGCGGCCGCTGTTGGAAAAGAGGCCCGCGGCGACGCCGACAACGAATCCTGTTCAGATGGGGCGAGAACTGCCGCTGGTCTTCGTGCTCATCATTTCCGCACCCGCTTCCATCGTACCGAATCGAATGTGTTCGAGGACGGCGAGAAGGTCTGGTTCAAGAAGGGTGATTTCGACGGCTGCTGGGGCGCCTCAGGTCATGCTGGAGTGCCTGAGGTCAGGCTGGGGGGACCTCGAGCCCAGCGAAACCAACCTTGTCCAACGAGCCCTTCTTTAACGGGCGAAGAACGGTATAAAATAAACTTGTTCCGTAAGGGTATAAACTTTCCAGCCGCCCTGGGGCAGGTGTCCCCGACGGCGAAAAAGTTTATTTTATACTATTCTTCGCTCGCTGACTTCTGGCAGCCTCCGACGTGTACAGGGGAGCGCAGCGGCCAACCGGCAAAACAGCATCCTTGGTGACGTTGCTCACGGGCGGAGCGGGCCGTGGCTGCGCGAGCTCCTGCGGGCACCGCGCGGGCGTGGTGTAAGCGAGGCGAGCTGTGGCTGAATGGGGCCCAGGGACGCACAAATGAATGCGCACAGAGCTCAAGATCCCCCTACATTCTCACATATCTAGGGGGCAAACAAACCTACCTCGCTTTTGACCACCCTCGCTTCCAAGAGATACCAAGCGATGCCAAACTACGGCCTGTACTGGTCAGGCCGCTTGACGAGGAGACGCGTGGTATGACTTGGTTTTGCCTGGAAGCGGAACCGGGGTAGGTAATTCACGCTCTGAATTCTCACATATCTTCTGGGCGTGCGTCGCCCCCAGCCCTCTCCCAAGTTGTCCCGCGTGTCCTCAGCAATCGATGGTTCTTCCGTGCGGCGGGCGAGGGGGGATGGAGAAGGAGAAGGCCTTCTCAGAGAGCGGCGGGGCTTTTCAGAGGCCCCCGGGCCTCCCGAGAAGTGTTCCGTGCCTCCAGGGAACCCTTCGAACACTTCTCAGAATGCCGGAGGACCTCCGAGCCTTCCGAGAAGGATCGCCCCCTCTCACTTGCCCCCCCGAGCTGGCCGCCGAATGGTTCCCTCGTTAGACAACCCTCCGTACGCAACAACCACGCACTGGGAGGTCCGTGGCGGCATCGATGCCCCTGGAGGCTCCAGGGAAGACCCCGGAGGCTCCGTGCCAGAACACCCTGCCGCTCCTCCTCCTCCTCCTCCTCCTCCTCCTCCTCCTCTCCCTCCTCCTCCTCCCTCTCCCCCCTCCTCCTCCCTCCTCCCTCCTCCTCCTCCTCCTCCTCCTCCTCCTCCTCCTCCTCCTCCTCCTCCTCCTCCTCCTCCTCCTCCTCCTCCTCCCTCCTCCTCCTGGGCCCTCCCGCGCCCACCCCTCCGTCTTGCGGGCCCGTGGGCGCCCGCTTTTGGCACGCCCGACGTGGGCTGCGATGCCCAACAGCGAACGTCGTCCAAATGCGCCAAAGTGGGGGCGCCGTGGGGCCGGCGACTCTGCCTCGAGCGGACGGCATCCGCGGCAACACCGGCAGCGGATCCTGCTCAGGGCGGAGAAGACCTGCTGATTCTGCTCGTACTCATCACTTCCGCACCTGACAGCGACAGAAACCTGCGGGGCGGGGATTTATCCACATCCACCACCTGGACGCCGACGTCCTAGTGCCCCAGCGGGCGGTGGATATGGATATATATTTCGGTCCCCGGGGGCCCGAATATGTCCATGTCCATAGCCTGCCGAGGCTCCGAAAACTGACTCTCCAGGCGGTGGTCAGGAATAAATTCCCGCCTCGGATCACAGAAAACATCCAGGACGGGCGGGAGTCAGATTTGCCGAGGCACGTCCCGCTCTTACGCCCTCGGCCACCCACGCACATAACACCACTCGCAGGCGGCCACACGCCTGGAGCCACAGACACTCCGACGGGAGCACGCCGCTTCCGATTCGAACACCCGCGAGAAGCTATGCGCGCGTCCAGAACCTCAGGTCCCTTGGAAGCTTCGCGGAACCTTCTGGAATTAGGTCGGGCCTGTCCCCCAATAGGCGGACTTGGGGCGACAAATAAAAAATACTCCGAAGATACTTCGAAGATAACCCAAAAAGTCGTCCCCGGACTATTTCTTGACTCGTCTTGAAGATCCCTCCTGTAAAGGGGCAGGCCAGACTTGACCCTTAGGGCCCCTGGAAGCCTCGCGGCATCTGCTGAAGCTCGCTGCACGCCCCCGGAGGCCCCCCTCGGATGACCTCAGAGAGACGCCACGGGCTCGCGGTGTCCCACGCAACCTTCCGCGCCGCGCTCTCGGCAAGGGTCCCCTGCGATAAGACGACGTCAGGACAGGGACAACATCGGACCAGGACAAATCGGGGGGGGGGGCCCAGGGGGGGAGTGCTTTTCCTCCTCCTCCTCCTCCTCCTCCTCCTCCTCCTCCTCCTCCTCCTCCTCCTCCTCTCCCCCTCCTCCTCCTTATCTCCGCCTCCTCCTCCTCCTCCTTCTCCTCCTCCCCCTCCTGGTCGTCGTCGACATCTTTCAGGGTCGGCGGCACCGGCCGTCAGGCCTTCACACTCGGGGAACTCTAAGATCCGGCGGTTCTGGAGAAGGTATCGGGCGCCGCGGCCTTCTGAGAGCGTTCGGGGACGCTCCGAGGGTGTTCAGGAACGCTCTGAAACTATGTATCCAATGTATCCCTGCCGTAGCCCCGCCCGAAGTTGCCCTCAGGCCCTTGGAGGGGAACACCCCTCAGACCAACCCAACAGTGCCTCTTCGATCGTCGATTCTAACGATACTCGCTCCTCCTCCTTCTCGACACTCCATTTCCAAGAGGGGGTGGTGATTGTGGACGCCCGAAATGGGTACGGAAAAAAAGGCACGATGCCCAACAACGGCTGTTGTCCCAAACCGACGGCGGCCGCAATTGCGCAGGCGACCTGGTGCCTCAAATGGACACCGTCCGCGGCGATGCCGACAGCGAGTCCTTGTCACAATGGGCAGGAACTGCTGTCGATCGTCGTCCCCTTCCTTTCCGTACCCATTTTCGGGGGCGTCCAAAAATGGGGACGCAAATCATGGCAGGCGGCGTGCGCGCGGCCCGGAGGGGGGGAGGGCAGGGACGTACTGAAATAGAAACGCCATGACATCTGGGGAGATACCATGGCCCGCGCCATGACATCCCCCCCTAGGCATCACCCCCCTCTTTGCCGCCCCCGACATTTCGGCCGTACCGCGCGGCCGCTCCGCGGTGAACACCCCCTCGCAGGTTACCGAGGGCCCCCCTGCCACGCTGGTCGCGGCGCGCGCTGGCGCTGCTGGTCACTCTGGTCCCTGGGCGGCCGAGGGAGGCGAGAGGAACCCCCTCCGCAGGTTGCCGAGGGCCCGCCCCGCCACTCTGGTCGTGGCGCGCGCTGGCGCTGCGGGTCACTCTGGGCCCTGGGGGGCCCGAGGGAGGAGAGAGGGGGATTTGCTGGTCACTCTGGGCCCCCGGGGGGCCGAGGGAGGGGAGGGTGGATGGGCTCGGGCTCGGGCTCGATTCGGGCTCGCCGCGATTCGGACTGCGGCCGGATCTGCGGCTCGGTGTTTCGGGCTCGAGCTGGGCTCCGGGCGCGGGCTCGGGCCTGGACTCGGGCCTGTACTCGGTTCGGGCTGCGGCTCGGGCTCGGGCTCGGGCTTGGGCTCAGGGGGAGCATAGCGCCAGGACGCCTCGAGAGGGTTCCGAAGAAGACCGAGATGGCCCACGGAAGGGCCCAACACAGTCAAGTAGGGACCCACAGGGGCCCCAAAGCACGGCCATTTAGCCCCGAAGCACGCCAAGACGACACATCTGCGGGGCAATTTCGCGAAAGGGGTCCGCCGTTGCCCCTGCTCTGCGGGCCCAACACTTCAAAAGCAAAGCTCGCACTTGGGAGGTCGCTCAGTCAACCTAGTACCATAAGGAACGCTCAATAAGGAAAGAAGCCCTTTCTGACCCCAGGGCGCCAGGGTGCACGAAAAGCGCCAAAAAGAACAACTACGCAAGGATCCAAAGAACAACGCGCCCCGTCCATCCGCGACCGATCGGTTCCGTGCTTCAGCATCCTGACTGCAGGGGCAAGAGAAGGGAAGGGAGGGATATGGATATGGCACGATGGGCGGAGGGGGCGGAACGGGGCGCAAAAAAGGGAGGGGGGAGGGTGCAGAGGGGAGGGGGGGGCGGGGGGAGAGGGGGGAGAGGGGGAAGGGCGAGAGAGAGAGCGGGACGGGAGGCAGATAGGGGACGGGAGGAAGGGAGCAGAGGGAGGGGTGGGAGAAGAAGAATAAACAACTAATACTGATCATACTCAGATAATAACCATAATAATAATAATAATAGCACGAGTGGTATTACGAATGATAATGATACTACTAACCATAACAATAATGATGCTACTACTAATACTAATAAAAGTAATCATAATAATACGAATAACACTAGCAATAATGAAACTACTCATACTAATACTACGAATACGAATGATACGAACAATCAGGGTAATAATAATAATCAGAATAACCATACGACTAGTAATAAGAGTAAGAAGAATAATAAGAAGAAGACGAAGAAGGAACGACTCCGAAGGAAGACAGGCGACATCACCACAGCAAGAGAGAAACACAAACAAAGAATCAGGGGAGGACGGCGCCCAGCCCGTCCTCCTCCCTGGCCCCGAGCCCTGCTGCGGCAGAGGGTGGAGGCAGAGAGAGGCGGGGCGTCGCCTGGAGGCGCAGGAGGCAGAGGCAGAGAGGCTGGAGGCAGAGAGGCTGGAGGCCGAGAGGCTGGAGGCAGAGAGGCTGGAGGCAGAGAGGGGGGGGGGGGGGGGAACGCAGAGGAGGCGGGGGCGAGCGACGGGGGCAGCGGCGGGGCGCCGCCTGGACCCTCCTGGCGGACGCGTGCCCACGGCGGGGCTCCCTCGTGGGCTGCTGGCCTCGGCGGCGGCGGGCGGCCGCGGGGGGGCGCGGGGCGACGGGGGAGGAGGACCCTCGGGGGGCCTCCTGCGCCTCGTGCGCCCCTTGTCCGTCCTGCCTGTCCTGCGTCATCCCGCCTCCCGCTGTCGTCCTCGTCGCCTCCGTCGCTCGGTCCTCCCACCCCGTCCCCCTCCCCATCTGTTCCGCCGTCCCCCTCGTTCCTCGCTTTCCCCTGTCCAGTGTCCAGTTCCCAGGTATGGCGTCCCCAGGTTGCCAATCCTCCCTCGTTCCCTTGCTGTTCCTCCACCTCCGATGCCCAATAGTTTCTGACTCATCAATCCTCCCTCCTCCGCCGTGCCTCATCCCCTGTCTTCCCTCCCCGTGAGTTCCACCTTCCATACTAAATCAGTATTGATTAATCGCGCATCCTGCATCTGATTTCCCGCGTCGTACCTCATTCCTCCGCCTACTTGCCGAACCCATCATTGACATAATATCAGCATTATCCTCCCCCCCCCCGCCGTCAACTAACCTCGCCCCCCCGCCAGCCTCCACACGCCGCGCGTTCCACATGTTTCCTTTCAATTCCCAGGAAGTTATCCGTCCTACTCTGCCCCATGAATTATTTGTTCATCCATCCTCCTCCTCCTCCTCCCTCGCCGCCTCCTGCCATAACCCACTTGTGAGATCCGCCCCCCTTCCAACCGAGACCCCTCTTCCCTAGTTCATCAGATGTCCCCTCCCGTTCCTCGCTCGCTCCTCCACCCCAACCCGCACCATTTGTCAGCATCGATCCCGTTTTCCTTCCCTCCCTCCTGCCCATCTTCTTCTTCCTCCACCTCACATACCCTTCCCCCCCGCGTCCTCGCCACATCCGCCCTGCCTCTTCCCATGTCGTCCCTCCCCGTGTGTACCCAACTTCCCCATCAGCCCTTATTCTCGTCGTCCACCCGTCCCCCCTCTGTCCTTCCCAATCCTTCACAAGTATTTCATCCTCCTACTCCTCCACCCCCCCCCCCCCTCCGCCACCCCGCCTCCCTTAGCCGCCCTCTTCAACGGTCCTCGCCCACGTTTCTTATTCCCTCATTCCCTCTTTGCTACGCCCTTGTCTGTCCCAATTTCTAAGGTTTCCTCCATCCTCCACATTCTCCCCAACCTCTTCCTACCCTGCCCCCCCCAGCACGTTGTCCCAACTCCTCCTCCTCCTCCGCCCCCATCGCAACTACTCATCAGCCTCCCCATGATCCCCCTCGTCCTGGTTTCCCTCTGCCTTGTCTCTTCCCCCCGAAGTCCTTGGGTCCAGGGAAAGGGGGGGGCTACGAAGCCTGCCGCGGCGTGCGGCTAGCAGAGTTGCCCCCTGCGGGTCGCTCCGATCTCCGGCCCCGGGTCCGTGCGCACCGCCGCGAGGACCTGGCCGCCAGCTCGCTACGGCGACCGCGGCCCGCCGCACCCGCCGCGGGCGCTGCCTCCGCTGCCACGGGTGCCACGGGCGCCCGAGGAGCACCGGGCGCTGCCGGCCTTCGGCCACCGCCGCCGCCTCCCCCCAAGGCTTGAGGCCAGCGGCGCAGAGGACCCTCAAGGCGCGAGCCGCAGATGGAAAGAGCGAATTTGCGATCGGACCATTGGACTCTCCCCAGCGCCGCGACGCTTGCTGGGGCACCCTGGCGCGCCCCTCGGCCGCCCTCGCCCCTGCCGCCCCCGCCCCGGCCGCCCCGGCCGCCCCGGCCAGGGCCGCTGCCGCCTCGGCCGCCCCTGCTGAGGACGCCTCCGGCCTGGACGGCCGCGGGGCCGTGCCATGCCTGGGCAGCCGCCGCCGCCTGGGCCGCCAGCGCCGCCACCGCCTGGACCACCTGCGCCGCCGCCTCCCAGGACGCCGCCGCCAGCAGTGCTCGAGGCTCCCCGCTGCAGCCAGCAGGCCACGTTCCCGAGCGCTCCCTGTAGCGCCCCCGTGGGCCAGCCAGCGCCATGTGCGCAATCACCTGCAGTGTCTGTTCTGGCTCCACTTCCAGCTGAAACTCCTGATGGTCCGCGCCGTCATCCTTGGGCTCGTGCTCCTGCTGCAGTACCACCAGCATCATCGGGATCTCGATCTCGGTCAAGGGGAGCTCGTGAAAGCCGCGCAGGCGCAGTTCAAAATGCTCGTGCTGCACACGCTGCTCATACTGTGAAGCCCGCCGCCGTGAGACGCCGCTGTTGCGCTTGCCCCTGCGCTCGCAGTCCAAGCGCAGATCCTGCCACCAGCGATGCTGCCGCTGTCAGGTCGTTCGGTCCCCCCCCCCCACCTCTGCTTCGATGGGCCGCCCCCGCACCCACTCCCAGCTGCTCTCGCGCGCGGCAGGGAAGAGGAAATCGTCCAGCAGACCTCGTGCTGGCCTTGCCGCAAGGGGTCATCTAGCCCCTGCGCCTGCCTCGCGGGGTCACCCCGCTCTCGCCCCCAGGACCCCCAGCAGTGCCATCCAGAGCCCCGTCAGCACCGCCGCGGCTCTCCCCCGCCACGTCCGCCCGCGCCTCAAACGGCGCACCTCTCCCTCGCCCTGTCCGCCAGTTCGTCCAGTGGACGCGTTGCAACCTCACCCTGCGGCAGACAGCTGCACGTTTTGCCGCTCCGCTGGGTAAGAGTCAGGCGGAGCGCGGGCCCGAGGGAGACTTGGGCATCGATCTCTCAGCGCGCAGGACTGGCGAGACCTTCGAGGAGGCCTTGGAGATAGGTGCAGCAGCCAACCTTGTTAGTCGCCCCCTCTCGGGCAAGCAGCAGTCGAGCAAAGGGTTCAGTTTCGGCCACGCCAGCTGCTGAGCCCTCGAGCGAAGTCGATCTCGAATCGGCAAGCCATCCGCTCTGCAGGACGTGCCAGGCACTCACAATGCAGCTGCGGTGGGAAAAACACAGCCGTGTTCTCTCTTCTGTGCAGTCTGCGGCCGCCTGGTCAGCAGCACAATCATCCTGCTTCCACGAGGGACGCCGAAGGAGGAACGAAGAAGCTCTTCTAGCCCCGGCCGGCCCTCCTGACCGAGGCCCGCGGAACGGCCTGAAGACAGAGCCCCTCCTCTGCCCTAGGCGGGCCTTCTTGCAGCGCCCAGGATGTACCCCGTGGCCGCGGGGCGGGCCTCTTTGAGCCAAATGCAGAGGCGGCTCTCTGCTGCCTCTTCTGCTCCTCCCTGCTGCCCCCTCCTTCTCCCCTGCTCCTCCCGTTCCCTGCTCTGCTCCCTCCTCGTCCTCGTCCTCGTCCTCGTGGGGTGGAGGACGCAGGTCTCCCAGGCCCCGAGTATGGCGCCCCAGGTGGGCGCTCAGGAGGGAAGCCCTTCTGGAACGCTTGTGCCCCTCCTGCCCCGATGGCGAGCGCCTGCGACCTCGCGAGTTTGTCGCAGCGTGGTTCCCCGCAGAAATCACACGCGGCTGTGGGGAGCCCCTCGGCGTGCCGCTGCTGAGACACACGAAGGCATCAGCACGCTTGACGGTGGCTTCCGACGGAAACGCGACATCGATGCTCTTTTGCCATCGCGAATTCGCCCGCCCCCCCACCCCCCCGCATGCGTGGGACAAAACGGTATGAACAACGCTGCTCCCAAGACCTCTCCTGGCGCGCGCTCCGACCAGGATTTCGAGGAGCGTCCAGCCGTGGCGGCGGCGGCTCATCCGGGAGGGCCCAAGGAGGCGAAAGCGAGTCGATGGTGGGCTTCTGCCAGACCTCTGAGGAGCATCCCGCCGTGGCGCCGGGGGCCCGTCAGGACGAGCAGCGGCCATCGGTGCCACTCCCTCTCCCCTCTGAGTCCTTGCCCCCCCGCACGGGCCTGCCCCGCAGGCACTGCTGGCCGCAGGTCGAGCAAGGCCCCCCCCGCGCAGCAACGAGGCGGCGCCGAGCCTCGCGCCGCGAGAAGGGTGGGGCTCGTGCTCCCGCTGTCCGAGGCGGCAGGCGGCAGGCGCGCGCGCACGCGCGCGCGTCTCCGGAGGGGTTCGGCGCACGGGCGCGCGGAGGAGAGCCCGAGGCAGCTCGGACTGGCCATGGAGAGGAAGAGGAAGGGGAGGAGGAAAAGAGGAACACACATGTATACACATATATGTATATATACATCAATAACAAAGAGGATAGAGAGAGAGAAAGAGAAAGAGAAAGAGAAAGAGAGAGAGAGAGAGAGCGACAATGACAAATCATACACATACACATACACATACACATACAAACACACGACCACCAAGCATGTACACGGGGATGGGGGGATGGGGGGAGGGATGGGAAGGAGGGAGGGGGAAGGGAACCGTCGCTCTGCCGCCCCATTTTCCCACGTGGGCAGCGACCCTGCTTGCCGAGAGCGGCAACCCAGCCTGCATCGTGACGCGCGCGCGGGGGGGCAGAGTCGGACCCACCGACCTCCCCTGTCCTCTGCTCCCTCGCCCCTCGTCCCTCGCTCGTCGGGCCCTTGGGACTGCACTGCGGTGGCAGTCGGCCGGGCTGGTCGGGTCCAGCCCGTGCCCCCCTGTGGCTGGGCCGTGGGCCCCGCGGCCCCCATCAGTGGAGCCCGACTTCAGGAGGTCCGTGCTGGTGGGAGAAAATGCAGCTCCGTGTCCTCTACCTCGAGGAGGAGGAGGAGGAGGAGGAGAAAGAGGAGGAGGAGGAGGAGGAGGAAGAGGAGAAAGAGGAGGATGAGGAGGAGGCGGAGGAGGAGGAGGAGGAAGAAGAAGAAGAAGAAGAGAAGAAAGAGGAGGATGAGGAGGAGGCGGAGGAGGAGAAGGAGGAGGGACGCCGCGGGGCGGCACTCCGGGCTGCCGGCCAGACATCTGCATCAGCACGTCGTTGTACTGCGTGCGCAACTCGAAACCCTGCCTGCGACGCGCTAAGCAGCTTGGCCGGCAGGAGGGGACCCTCCCATGCAACCGTGCCCCCCCTTTCTTCCTCCTTTTCCTTCTCCTCCTCCTCCTCCTCCTCCTCCTCCTCCTCTTCATCCTCCTCCGCCTCGTCCTCCTCCACCTCCTCCTCCTCTTCCTCCTTGTCTTCCTCCTCCTCCTCCTCCTCCTCCTCCTCCTCCTCCTTCTCCTCCTCCTCCTCCTCCTCCCTCTCCTCCTCCATTCCATTTCCTTATCGACCAATCCCACCTGTCGCGACCCAAGGCCGGTCGAAAGGGCGACCCGGGCGTTTCGCCTAAGACATCCTCACTTATGGCCCTCACGCATAACATTGACAACATATTCACAATTGGAGTGCGGGTCGTTTTCGAAATGTGGCTCTCGCCTTAGCGCCACGCACATTCGTTTAAAACATGCACGAGTTTCACGGATTGCGGGCGGTTCATTGCCAAACTGTGGCTCTCGCGCTGGCGCCGCGCACATTCGTCTTAAACATGTGCGAAAGGTTTCGCGGATTCAGGGCGGTTCGTTTTCAAACTGTGGCTTTCGCCTTGGCGCCGCGCACACCTATTTCAGAAAGTTGCAGGAATTTTGCAAATTGAGGGCGGCTCGTTTTCAAGCTGTGGTTTTCGCCTTGGCGCGGCGTTCACTCGTTTTAAACATATGTAAACGCTTCGCGGATTGATGGCGGGTCGTTTGCAACATGTGGCTCTCTCGCCTTAGCACCGCGCACACTCGTTCTATAAAAAAGAACAACTTCAACGGATTGAGGGCGGTTCGTTTTCAAAACGTGACTCCCGCCTGAGCGCCGAGCACACTCTGTTGACATTTACCATAGTTTCATAAGATCTCATGGTTAACGTGCCAGAAACGGCGTTTCGGAACGATTTGGGATTGTCAGGGCGCAACAGTTGCGTTGATTCGCGGTGCTGGAATCCCGGGAAGGGCGTTCTGGCACGATTCAAGATCACCAAGACGTAACAGTCAGGTTAAGTCGTGGCGCTGAAACCTCACACTGGTGATTTGGCACGCTTCAGAATGTTCACACGGTTGTCCCCCCATGGGGCAATTCCAACAGTGGAAAGGACCCTTTGTAGGGGCCTATGAGAAAGGAACCTTGGAGGGAGGGTGTATTTCAACATCGTGAATGAGTCTTGGGCTTACACTGGTCCTCCTCCTCCTCCTCCCTCCCTCCCTCCCTCCCTCCCTCCCTCCCTCCCCTCTCCTCCTCCTCCTCCTCCTCCTCCTCCTCCCCCTCCTCCTCCCCCTCCTCCTCCTCCCGCAGCCGAGAGCGTGTCCGTGCGCGCGCGCCCGACGCCACCCGCTCACGCCGAAGGGCCACACCACGACGAGTGGAGCCCCGCGACGCCCGGCCGCCAAGGGCCACCCCCGGCGGCGCGCGCAGCGCGCCAGCTCCTCCGCCGGCTCCTCCCCCCCTGGGACGCACATGGACATACTAATACTAGATGTCCTCCTTGGAGGCGCGCGTCCGACCCGAACATATAGTATACCCATCTTGTAGTATATCGTTTCCCGAGCGGTGTGGCCAGAAAGCGCCCGCCACGACGCATATACTGTAAGATTTCTCGGTGCGCGCGTCGCCCCTGGGGGGGCGACGCACATATAGTATAAGTATGTTGGGGTGTTGCCGAGGGGCCCCCGCCTCCCGCGGAACGTCCTCCTCCGGCTCCATCCCTCCCTTAAAACGACGCGAAGATCGGGACAAAATCGGATCGGGATAACTCGAAGTCTCTGAGAATCGGCGGGTTTGGAGGATGTATACTGGGCGCCGCGGCCGCTCCAGAGCGTTCCGGAACGCTCTGAGAGCGCTCCGGAACGCTCTGGAGCGATTTATTCCGATCCTAGCCCTGTTTTATCCCTCCCCCCCCTACTCCTCGCCCGCCCGCCCGCCCGCCTCCGCCACAGGCCGGCCTCTGGAGCCTCGGCCCCCTCGCCATGCCCCCCCGCGCCGCGGCAGAAGTCACGGCGGCGGGTTCGGTGGCCACCCTTTCGCGGCGCGCACAAGGGGGTGGAGGGAGGGTGAAGGCCTCTTAGAAGGAGTCTGCTTCTAAGAAGCCGCCGGCCGTACATCTACAGAGAAGGCCCGCGCCTTCTAAGAAGCAGGGATGCTTCTAAGGAGGCCTCCCCCCCCCCTCCCCCTCCCTCCTCTGCGCGTGGCTGAATCTCCCTTTCACTATACAACTAACAGATCAACGACTTCAGACAATCATGCGACCACGATGGCTCTGCAACGCCAGGGCGCGTCGGTCATGGAATGCCCCTTGCAAGCGATGTCCGTGTGAAAGGTCAGCGATGATGGCGAGGGCCCTCCAGAAAGGGCCCCGGAGGCCGTAAGGAAACGGCTCGGAGGGAAAGGCCGGCCCCTGGAAGAGCAGGCATCCAAAATGCCCCCCCGGACCCGCGGGCCGCAACAAGCGCCACGACGCCGCGAGGCCTGAGTCTCCCCAGGCGCACCGATGGCCCCGCCGGGGGGGCTCGGCGTTCGGAGCACCACCGCTCGGGGAGCAGAAGCAGCTTCAGCGGCACGCCACCGTGGGGACCCATCGGCGCATCGCTGTGGAGGAAAGGCCAGCCCTTCGGAGAGAACTGAAGGAGTGGCACGCTGACGGGCTACTCAAGGCAAGGCCCCGCAGAATGTCATTGATACCCCTTCCTCGAGCAGGGACCAACCGTCCCGGCATTCCTGCAGGCCTGCCACGACATGTTCTCAGAACCCCAAGGTGTTCTGAGAACGAACACAGTGCTCTCAGAACATAAGCCCGATGTGCTACAACGAGGCAGTCTCTCAGCCAGAAATGTTATATGAACATCTCGTGCAGACCACAAACGGTTCTTAGAACATTCTTTGGTGGGCCTACAGTCGGGGGCGCGCAAAGATGGATTAGCGATCCATGGATTTGGCGCGCGGCCGCCAAATCCATGGATCGGGGGAAAGTGCCCTCCCCAAAATGCGGCCACTGCCGCCTCGCTCGGCGGCGGAAATCCGCGATTTCCGATGGAAGCGGGACCCGTCGCTAATCCACGCCCCCTTGATCCATGCTTGCGATCGCCTGATGT